GAGGACTCAGAGGAGCCTGACGGAAGGTGATCAAGAAGTCCCCTCTGGCCTCATGTCCTCGTCTGTTAAGGGGGCAGTGATGCCCCTCACCCCTCCCTCGGGCTGTTGTGGAATGGTCAGCAGGAAGAGGACCCAGAAACCCTGCAGTGGCCAGCAGAGGTGAGGGGGTGGCTGGGTGTTGTGTCTTCCATGGGTCACCTGCATGCCCCTCTGTGTGAGGAACCCCCGCCCCCTCTCTTCCCACACTGATTCTAGCTCCTCCTGGGCACCCACTTCACTGGGAGCTACCAGCTGATGGAGGAAGGGCGGGGAGCTTGTGGAAGGGAGCACAGATTTAGGAATCAGTTTGTCGAGACAGCAAGACAAGCCAGTGTGGGGGCAGGAGGAGCGGGCAGTGGTCAGGCCATCGGAGCTGGCCCTTGTGCAGGGCAGTCTCTCCTGTGACTATAACACAGACACTGGAAGAAGCTTGTGTCAGTGAGAGCTGGGTGTTTGGAAGCCATGGGTAAAAAAAATTGTCAGAATAACTCTCACCTTTTGCCAGGGAGTCAGATTACAGTGAATTGCCACTTAAGGACAGGGACACACTCAGATCACTGTTAGGCGATTTTGTTGTGATGCGACTGTCACCGAGGACACTGACATGAACTTGGGTGGAAGAGGTCAATCACTTGACATGGTCTTTGGATGCAATCAGAAGTGTCCCGTGGTGGCCATTAAGCAGTAGGGGTACACGCTAAGATATGACCAAAAGCACACTAGACACCCAGACCAGCCATGTGGCTGTTTATTGTCATTAGCAAGGATTACATGCATCAGATACTTGGGTGTGCTAGTTACACTTTTATCCAACTGGCAATGCAGTAGGTTTGCACACACCAGAATCTGTGGTGCTATGACATTGTGACAACCGTAGTGTCACTAGGTGATAGAATTTTCCATCTGGGCATGGGTGGCACGCGTCTATAATCCCAGCGACTCAGGAAGCTGAATAAGGAGGATTGCAAGTTTCAGGCCAGCCTCAGTAACTTAGCAAGGCCCTAGAACTTAGTGAGACCCTGTCTCAAAACGAAAATAAAAAGGGCTTAGTGGTTAAACACCCGAGTGCTAGATCCTCAGTACAAATAAATAAATAAAAAGAAAAAAATTTCCAGCTTTATTTCAATCTTATGGGACATGGTTGTGTTGTCATTGACCTAAACGTCATTCTGTGACTCTGGAACCTGTGTTCCCATTTTACACGAGACTGCAAAATAAACACAAGAAAAATGTAGATATTCAATGTAACGACAAAACCTTGGGGAAAGCATAGGTGGACATTTACGTACTCTAAAGGAAGCATTTGGGAGCATGGCTTCAAAGGAAGAAAATAAACAGAAAAAAAAAAAAAGATGATGATGAGTACCAACAGAGCTTGCCATTTGCAAAAGAGGCAAATGCCAACCAGCAAAAAAGCAGTCTGCGGCATCTAGTCCAAAGAATGTGTTCTTAAGTTCTGATTAGCACTAGCTGCTACAAAAAAAGATGAATAGTAGCATAAAAGAAAAAAGACCACAAAGAAGACATTCTCAAAGGGTAGTAACCAGATAGCTAGAGACAGTCATCACCACAAACCAAAGGGAGGCAAATAAAACCAAAGGATTAACCATATATTCAAAAGATTAAGAATTTGGGAGTATTATAATTCCAGCACTATCCCGATTTAATGTTGTATCTAAATTCTAAAATATATTTTAAGAAATGCTATGTGTAAACTTGAATCATCTCTATAAGCACTGAGCCACATTCCCAGCCCTTTTGTATTTTTTTTTTTTTTTTAGAGACAGGGCCTCTCTGAGTTTTTTAGGGTCTCACCAAGTTGCTGAGGCTGACTTTGAACTCGTGATCCTCCTGCCTCAGCCCCCAAGCCACTGGGATTACAGGCATGCTCTACTGCACCTGGTGAGATGTTGGACTTTACTACAAAGATAAAAATCATTCATAATTAGCACTTAGATACAAATAAACATTGTTTCAGATCTTTATTTTCAAAATGAAGAACCTTAAGTTGATTTGTCCAATCTCCTAAGTAGTATAAATCATGGCCTCGGTTTTTAAAGAATGACAACAGAAAATTGTCCAGGTAAATAAAAGGTTCCTGCCCGATTTGGAAACTTCCACTGATTCCTCATGCTGGCTGAGGTTGGGTGTGACAAGAAGAGGTTTGAAGGTGCCTAGGAGGGTCCAAGGCTCTAGAACTCTCTGTGCACCTGGCTGTGGGTATCACCTGTGTGAACAGTGGTGTGTGAGTATGTGCATGTGCCCTTGTGCTTGTGAGCTTGCATGTGTCTTAGAAGGACCCATGAGCAAGGAGACATCAATACGTGGCTTCAGGAGGACAGGGGGACAGGACGTCAGACGCTGGCTGGAAACTCCACAGCAGGCCTAGAGCATCTCTTCACCCAGGAAAGCCTTTGGCCAAAATAATAAGAGGAACGATTGAGAACTCTTGTAAAGATCAACTTTCCCATGGTGCAGAAAGAAAGCGGAGGCCATGGGACAAAGGACCTGCTTCTGAATCCTGACTGTCATTCATAAAACATCCTTTGTCCATTCAGAGCGATTTGGGTGTTTGGCTCTGAGGGCCAGGGCTAGCAAAGAACAAGAGGGAATTTTTATCAAGTTACGCTTTCATTGAACTGAGCTCTCGATGAAAGAATTCAAGTCAAATTCATTCAGTACTTTTTTTTTTTTTTAATTTAAGCAAGGGTTGTTTTGTTTTAAGTTACAGACGCCACGTAGCAAGTGACTTTGCTGAACAGATCCAAAAGACATTTTTTAAGTGGATGATTTGTTCAAACCAGAGGAGGGAAGAAAACAGGATGCTTAGTTTTTTAATAAGGACACTTGCCTGGCAAAAGAATATTCCCGTTGAGCTTAATAAATACAGTAAATATTTGCCCAGTCTACAGACTCATAAATCCTGTGGGACCCACCATTGCCATCCTCCCAGCCCAGTAAATGACCAGCAGAAGAGGCGACCCATTTGCATGCCCTGAGTTATTCAATTCAAAGCCTTTTCCCCATTCCCAAGATAGAGAAATGAATGCATGTGCTTAAGTCCACCCAAAGCCATTGATCCGCAGCTGGATAAGGACTTGAGATGCAGACAGGAGGCTCAGGAAGTGAGCGGGTTTCCTCTGGGGGCCTCCTCCCTCCAGGCATCTGCAGAGAACTTATGATCAAATATTTATTAGCTGTGCTTCTGGCTGCGTTGTCTAAACAGAGGGAAAATAAGGCTCCGTAGGCAAGGAATGGATTGCTAATTTGAGCACTGCCTAGCTACAGATGAACATCTGCTCTTTAATTACACAAAAAGGTCTCCAAGCACCCTTCCTCCTGCTCCCGGGATGCACGTGCTTGCTTATTTTGCAACTGTATTTAGTCATGGAATTTCTAGAACCACTCCAGTCTGGAGAGGAAGCCCATGGTCAGTGAGTCAGATTTTTAACTCATGAAAAGGATTATCTGGTGAGTTCAGAGATGATGCTTGGGCACAGTCATGACTAGTTCTGGATCATTGCAACAGAGGTGGAAGAGGACACTGCTATATTCTATTCTCTCCTGTTTGAGCCCATTTTCTGTTGCTATAATAAAATACCTGATACTAGGGAGTTTATAAAGACTAGGACATGCTGGGTATGGTGGCACATGCCTGTAATCCCAGCAGCTCAGGAGGCTGAGGCAGGAGGATCACGAGTTCAAAGGCAGCCTCAGCAAGAGCGAGGTGCTAAGTGACTCAGTGAGACCTTGTCTCTAAATAAAATACGAAATAGGGCTGAGGATGTGACTCAGTGGTTGAGTGTCCCTGAAGTCAATCCCTAGTCCCCCCACCCCACCCCACCCCCCCAAAAAAGAATAAACATTTATTTGGCTTATGGTTCTGGCTGGGCAGTGCAAGAGCATCTGGTAGGAGCCATCTTGCTGCATTATAACCTCTTCCTCTTCTTATTTAGCCACCAATCCCATCCTAAGGGGCCTACCCTGATCACCTATCTAATGATATCTTAAAAGCCACACTTTCAAATGCCATCAGCATATGAATTTGGGGATTAGTTTTCCAATACATGAAGCCTGGGGAGGTGCGATTGAACCAAAGCACTCCCCACTGTGGGACTCGCCCTGTTCTCCACCAGCGCCTCACTCCACTGGAAACCCCTCTCCCTGGCACCGCCCAGTCATTCATCCCCTTGTTGGCACAGAAAAGGCAGAGTGGGCCAGTGAGCCCTAATCTGCTTATTTATTGGCACTAAGAGTTGTATTGGTGTCTTGATGCCCTTGAGTACATTACCAACCCTCCAGCAAGCAGTGAACTAACAAGTTGAACTGTGTCTACTAGGTCTGTACTAGAGCCCATGGTCCTTGTCATCCAAGTGCACAGTAGTCTCAAAACTAAACGGAGAGAGAACTTCTATCTGTTTATCTATTTGTTTACTTAAGCACTCTCCCACGGAGCTCCATTCCAGCCTTGAGAGCTTGATTTTAAAAAGACAGAGACCCTTATTTGGGACACTGCGATTCAGCAGGTTTGCACGGATCCTGCAATTAGGCAGGTTTAGAGATGTTTCCAGGTGCTTCTGTTAAGAATCTTTTCCAGGTTAAATGATATTCTACTCATCTGAATGCATTGACTCATCATAGGAATCAGTGGCAGGAAGAACCTGCTTCCTTTGGGAAAGGTGTTCACACCTGTGTGCAACCCATCTCGGTGGAATCCGGGGAAAGGGCTGGCTGCTTCATCTCTTTGTGTTTCCATTAGTGGAGACAACCAGGCACACTGTGTGTGCCCCAGGTCCTGCAAGGACAATAGTTTGGTTCCTGGCACTGTGATAGGCCAAAAAAAGACCAAAATTAAATAAAAGCGCCGCAAGGGATGGGAAACAAAATCATCTGGCTGCAGCTGGCCGGTCAGGTCGGCCCACACTGTTTCTGTCTTAAACCCTAACTCCATTTTTCTTCAGCCATCACAGGCCAGCTAGAAGATGACCTTGTGACCCCAGGTGCAAAAGACGACTCAGTTACTCCAGCTATAGAAGACAACATCGTGACCACAGGCACCACTGAAGAGTTCTCTGCGTCTTCTGGCCCAACGGCTCTGGTGAGTATCTTGGGAACAGACGAATCTGCTCCTCTCTTGGAAGAAGGATAGAATGTGTATTGTACGTAAAATCAACATAAGCCACTTTGTCAAGGGATCATGAGTGGCATGCTTCCAATTCCGTCCAGTGGGGAGGTGGTATACTGACAGGTGACTTGAGAGGACTAGCCCAGGGGTCAGACTCAGAAAGAGCCAGACTCGGAAAGAGCCAGGTTTTAAAACTTCTCCTGCGTTACAGCACAGTTTCAGTACAGTCAACTGTCTTCTCGCACCTTGTGGCAATGTCACTGATACAAGTTCCCCAATGTGCAGTCTCCATTTCCTGCCTCCCTATGTAGACCAGTAATGAGCATGAACTGGAATCATCCCACAGACCACGCTGGTATAACCCACGTGGATTCCGTGTGGACACACATCCTACCCTAATGAACTGTCACTGACACATATCTCAGGCAACTGCCCTAGACAAGACAAGAGGGCAGGCCCAGGGCGGAGGCTGTGAGACACACCGTCAATCATCTAGGAGTTGACGACTCATTGGTTAACAAGATGGAGGCTCCTGCCCACCTGACCTTTGCTTTGCCTTTGGCCTCTCTGATCTTTGAACACCAAGCTGGTTCCAACTTCGGCTTCTCTTTCCTCCTCCTGCAACACTCCCTCATCCTCCCTGGCTGACTTTCTCATGACTCAAGTTCTGAGTTATCTCAAAGAGATGTTATCTAAAGCATCCCATCCCTCCAGCCCTGAGGTCAGCAAGTTACCTACCAGACGTGTCCCACTGACTGTTCCTGTCAATAAAGTTTTATTGGAACACAGAAATGGCTATTTGGGTGAGAAGGATCTGGTGGCATTCACACTGTAAGAGCAGAGCTGAACGGTTTGGGCCTGCAAGGCTGAGAACATGCACCATTTTGGTCTTTAGAGAAAAAGTTTGCCAACTGCTAGTCCAGTCCAGTCCAGTCTATGTTTTCTTCAAAGCCCTTAAAGTTACTTAAAATGATCTTTTGTATTTGTTTACATATTAAGTCTTCACACCCTGCCACCCAGCCCCAGACTGCTAGTGGGGAATTTTTGTTACTCATTATATCCCAAGGGTTTGGAAATATGCTGGACCCACAGTAGTTTCTGGTAAAAAGCACAGAAGATAAAATTCACCATCATAACTATGTTAAGTGTATAGTTCTGCAGTTCTAAGTATATTTGCATGGCTAAACAGACCTGCAGAACTTTTTTTGCCTTATGAATCTGAAGTCCTGTGCCCTCTCAGCAGCAGCTCCTCATCCTTCCCTTCTCTAAGCCCCTGGTGCCTGTTAGCACCCTATTTTCTGTCTCTGATTTCGACTTCTCTGGATAGCTCACAAGGGAACCTCACAGTATTTGTCTTCTGGGGACTGGTTTATTTTACTTAGCAAAGTCTCCTTAAGGTTCGTCTGTGTTGCTTCATGTGTCAGGAATTCCTCCCTTTTTAAGGTTGAGTGTCCGTGTGTGTGTGCCACATTTGGCCACCCGGCTCTCTGCTGGTGGATGGCTGGCCTGCTTCCGCGTTTGCCAATAGTGCTTCCTAGCAGCACTGTTTCCTGTGGGTGTGCAGATCTCTCTTGAACGCCCTGCTTGGAATTCTTTTAGGTACTCAAGAACCACTTTCAGATAGTGCTGCTATCTGAAAGCAGATAGTTCTAGATTTACTGTTTTGAAGAGCTGCCATACTGCTCTCCACAGCAGTTCTCCCACTTTGGTGCACAAGGATATATACATTCATAGCAGCCCTTCTAACAGAAGCGAGCGCAAACCTAGCTCATCACAGTTTTGAACTGCATTTCTCTGATGAGTGATGCTGAGCATGGATTCATAAGCCTGCGAGCCATTTGTATAGCATCCTTAGAGAAACCTCTACTGCAGACCTTTGCCCGAGTTTTGTAGGTTCTTTTTGTTGTTCCGTTGTAGTTCTTTATACCCCTTATCAGATAAATGATTTGCAAATATTTTCTTCCATGTAGGTGGGTGGCATTTTCCCCCCGTGGCTGGTGCCCATGGGTGCCCACACAATTTTAAGTTTGATGTGATTCTATTTGTCCGATTTTGGTTTTGTTGCCTATGCTCACTAGTTTGTCAACTGCTACATTGACATGGACTTTGAAGTCAGCAGAACCACTTCTTTGGAATCTTCAAAGTGCTAAGTGTCTTTTTCTATGCTGATGAGTTGACTAATAGCTGCCAGCCCCTGGGTAGCTTCTGGAGTGGGGCTGGTCCCCAGAAAGACCGATGTGGGATTAAAAGGACTCTCAGTTTCACTCCAACCTCCAGGAAAGGGAGAGGGCTGAAACTGGTCACCATTGGCCAGTGATTGAATCCATCATGCATAGGCAATACAGTCTCTGTGTGGATTCAGAAGGATGAGGTCCAGGGAGCTTCTAGAAAGCTGAGTTCCTGGAGGCCCCTGGAGAGTGGTGCCCAGAGAGGGCCTAGAAGCTCTGCCCCCTCCTATGTTCTCTGGCCCTGTGAATCTCTTCATGGGCATCCTCTGTGATACTCTCTGTAGTAAACCATTAACCCAGCACTACTCAAGTCCTGCCCTGTCGTTTACAGGGTGACACAAGTTTGGGCATATTGTCAAATCATTCTAAGCTTTGTTCGTACAATAGGACTAATAGTAGGATCTATTTCCCAAGGTCGTGTGTGGAGTAAGTGAGAAACCACTTAAAGCGCTGGGGGCCATGTAAGCTCCCAGCAATGGCTAGTGGTCACTCTCACTAGGGGAGGGAGGAGGTGAAGGATGATTCAGGTGTGTGCCCAATACAGGTTACAGGGAAAAAGTGCTACTAGGGTTTATGGAAAAGCAAGTATTAAAGCTTTTTGGTCTCGTGGGTTTTGGAAGAAATTACCCACCAGCAAGTCAGCATGTCGAACATTTGGAATCCGTTCTTGGAGGAGACCTGGTTTTATTCCTGTTCCCATCCTTCTTGTTTTGGTTTCTTGATTCCACTTTGAATTTGTGCCATCGTGTCTTGTGTATATTTATGCCACCTTAAACCCTTTTCTGTTGTAAGCCAGAGTATGCACTTTAAAACATTAGGCTTTATTTTCTATTTTGCCTCATTTGCATGTCTAATAGGCGCCAACAAATGCAGAGAGTAGAACAGACGTTCCCATTGAGGATCTGCCCACCCAAGAAGGCTCAGTCCACACCCACGAAGAAAGCCATAGCACCACAGTCCCTGATGTAGCAACTAGCCGCTCCAAAGGTAAGGAGACCCGTCACCCCAGGGACCTGCTTTTGCCCACACCTTCCAAAAGTCCATGAACAAATGTAATAACAGGGGATATGTTTATAATGCAAGAGTGGGCACCACGATGCGCTCCTGTAATCCCAGCAACAAGGGAGGCTGAGTCAGGAGGATTGCAAGTTTGAGGCCAGCTCAGCAACTTAGCAAGACCCTGTCTCAAAATAAAAAATAAGAAGGGCTGGGGGTGTATCTCAGTGGAAAATATCCCTGGGTTCAATCCCCAGGACCTAAAAAATAAAAATTTAAAAAAATTTTAAAAAAGAAGAAAGAGTGAGTTCTGAACCAAGCTTTTTGAGGTGGGTTCAGAATTCAATTTATGAGTTGCTAAATCAAATTTGAACTATCAGGTTGCTGGAAATCTATCTCTACCTTGAATGACAGCTAGTGATATGGCCCCTGCCAGGGCGAGTTAAGTAGCTCCTGACCCTGCACCAAGAACTTCATGCTATCAACGGCATGAAACTCGGCCAGCCTAAGTAAATCTTGATAGATTCTACACTAACACTAACCCTCTCACATGAAGTTCATGTCTGCATATGTGAGCAAGGATCTTCTACACCAGATGGATCAGGATCTGGGGTTGTATTTGTGATTTGTGGTTAGCACAATGCAAATGGAGAAGCTTTGGAGGGGGCTTTGGGGTCATTACCATTATCCTGAGAATTAGACCTTTGCTGGTGAGCATGAGGGAAGGTCATGCTCAGCAATGGATGGGTTCATTCCTACTTTCAGAGATTTCTTAAAAGAAATCCAGCTATCTGAGATTTTTTTAAAAATGTACCTTATTTTGTAGCAGGAGAGAAAAAGAGCAAATCTTCAAGTAACTCCAAGGAGTGCTTGCTAACTGGAGAAGTTTTATATAAATTGTTTCATCTAATTAGATTTTATGTTTCTGTCTTTAAGATGAAAAGCCAGTGTAAAGACCATGCTTGAAACAGTGTTCTCCCAAACTAATTCCCCAAACCAACTACACATTTAAACAACCAGAAAGTCAGTCTGTATATGTGTGAGAGAGAGAGTGTGTGTGTGTGTGTGTAATGCTGGGCATTGAACCCAGGGCCTTGTGCTTGCTAGACAAATGCTCTACCATGGAGCTATATCCCCATCAGCAATGCACATTTTTGTATTTTTTTCTTTGAGTTGGGGTCTCTAAGACTAGCCTTGAACTCAAAATCCTCTTGTGTCAGCATCTCCAATAACTGGGACCACAGGCACACACCACTGCCCCCAACCATATTATCCTTCAATAAACACTTCTGGGTCAGATGCCAATGTGGTTTTTAAACTCTATAGCATATCTGAGGACTTAAAAAAATGCTTTTATATTGTACTCCCATGTTCATAGCAAGCAGCATCCACAATAGTTAAAATATGGAAGCAACCCAAGTGTCCATGGACCAATGAATGGATAAATAAAAATAGTATATATGTGCAACAGAATATTATTCAGCCTTAAAAGGGAAGGAGATTCTGTTACATACTCAATCCCACTTTGAGCCTCATTATCCTGAGATATTTCCCATAAGAGTTAAAACTGTCATTCTGAGAACTGGATTTTAAGAGGTAATTTTATTAGGGCAGCAGATGGCCAGTTTTCCCATGGAGTGCCCAAGTAGGATGATGTTCCCATGCATGACACATGCTCATGATCACGGACAGCATCATTGGGAGGGACTGGGGAATACAGAACTAAAAGCTCTCAATTAGTAGAGTCTTGCATCAACTTTATTTTCAGTAAAGCATTTTCTAACCCAGAGTGCCTTCAATGATGATAACCGTGTGTTTTGAGCCTAGAATCAGTTGCCACCAGGCTAGGACCTGATAAGCAAAGATTGAGCTATATTATATATTATATCACTGCTGCAGTTGGCTACACAGGATGACAGTTTGATTCCACGACCCTCTGCTCTGGGAGGCTCAAACCCATCAGTCTCCTCCCCATTATTTGAGGGTAGAATGCTCAACATACACTCTGTATAAGTGTCCCAGAGCCATGGGATCAGCTCATGCAGGGAGACCTGGGTCTGGGGAACTACCCTGGGGCCATCTTGAAAAGGTATCTTATTTTGAGGAGACTCTTGATACAAAGTGAGTGGATTATTTCAAAGCCAACCAACTGGTAAAAGTAAGCATCTTTTAGATGATGGTTGGCTAGTGTGTTGGGACAACCAACCCTAAATTCAAACTCAAGACTCTCCTCCTCCCAACACAGATCACCTCTGACATCAAATGCAAACCCCTCCCCTTGCCAACAGAAACAACCAATTCTGCCCATGGACATCAGCTGGGCATCCTCTAATCCAATTTAGTTCTGACATTATCTACCTGAAGATAGCATCAGATCCCATAGGTTGAGGGTTCAGTCCTTCAAGACTGCTCCCAGCAACACTTTAGGGGCCAATTGTGAGTTATAGACTCAGTATATAATGGAGAAACAAAGGAAAACACTTTTGTTTTAGGAACTGTGTAGAACTATCTGGAAGAGACTCACAATGGAGAATATTCATATTGTAAGTTCTAGAGAAGATCTGACTGCTGATAGAAATCTCAATGTAATTCAGTGGCATGAACAGGTGAAACTCGGCTAGGCATGCTGCTGCCTTGTGAAATCTGGATTTGGCAACCCAAGCAGGGAATAGATGGCATGAGAGGAATCACAGCCCTGTCACCTCTTCCCAGATTAGAGTATTACTCTCCAAGTGAGCAATAGCCCTGGGCACAGTCTGTAAGTTTTCCATGATCTCAATATTGGACTAAGTATCCACAGCTGTGGATTCTTTCGCCACCATAATCTCTGAAATTTTTTGACCATTTATTTCATATCTCTGTGGCTTAGTGTCCTTGACTCTGCTTTCTCAATTGGATGAGAAAACAAGTCTTGTATACAGAGGTGCTGTGAACCCACAGATGTGAAGAAGAGTTCGTGATTTTGATAATGATAGGCACCAAGACAGTTTCATGTCAGTGCTTGCTTAAAATTCCCATCCAATTTATCTAAGAAATCATCTTCTTTGCATGTTTTGATACATTGTATATCTTTTGCCAATTGTTAAATCATAGTTATTAAATCCTAATAATTTTATATCACTACATCTCTCCCTTTACAGAGAAAGTAGCTGAAGAGACAGAAACAACAGTCGAGAAAGGTAGGCAAGACCACAGGTTCAGAATATTCCTGTGGGCATGGAAGACAGTTTCTTTAAACCTGATTTTTTTGATGAGTTGCCTATTTTTCCTGTATTATATTCAACAAGAGCAGAAGAGAAAAGCTTCTGAGTATAGTTTTCATTCATATATATATATTTAAAGCAAGTACAGAGAATTCCCTTTACTTGAAAAGAAGTAGGACTGGGGCTGCAGCGCCTTGGTAGAACAATCCCCCTGCCGCTATGACCCGTAACCCATGATTCTTGGGTTCCTCACCTAGCACTGTAAAAAATAGGGGGGGAGGGGAGAAAAAGAAAAGAAGTGAATGATTCACTTAAAGACAGCTGCGGGAATGATATTCTACTCCAATTTGGTGTCACTAGGAATCAAAGTAAAAGCCAGTTGACAAGCTGTATAAAAACACCACCCATTAGGTGAGGTCCATCTGTTATGCACAATAGTTCCTGAGACCCCCCAAAAGTCTTTTCATTTAAGATGAGATTCGAATAGAGAGAGTAGGGCTGGGGCGTAGCTCAGGGGTTTGTGTAAGGCCCTGGGTTCCTTCTGTAGCACTGAACAGGAAAAGAGCCCAACACTTCTCCACTCATATTTGCTGTGCAGAGTAGGGCAATGGCCTTGTTATGTGTGACATGTGGTGCCACAGGTGTATTTCTTACCTGGGGCTCATGTTTTCTTTCCCCTCCCATGCAGATGGCTTGGCCACAGTGACCCTGGTCGGAATCATCGTTGGGGTCTTACTGGCCATCGGTTTCATCGGATGGATCATCTTTGTGGTTGTGCGGAAAATGTCGGGAGGGTACTCGTAAGTACTCACACCCCCATGGTGGGTGGGTGGGCGGGCGATGTTGAGTTCAGGACTCAAACCTGCCAACTAATGGAAACCTCTGAGTGAAGGTCACGTTCAAAAGCCCGTCACCTCCTCAAGTACTGTCTGAAGTTTCCGCAGAAGAGCAAATATCTACTTAGGCCAGATATGACGCTTACTTTGACTTCTGCTGAGATCTGACAAAATGTGGGTCCTTGTCTTAATTTTCCAACTAATTGAACTTGAGAAGAAAAAAAATAAATAAACCAGGTTTTAACTTGAGACCTGATCCCCCTGCCACCAGCCATCAGGGGAAGGTGGTTTCTGAAGAATCACCTGTCACAGAGCCAAAGCTCCCATTGTGACGTGGAATCCCGCTGGTGACAGGGTCTTTTTTACTTAGATCCCTCTTTTCCCTCCTGCCCTACACGCCTCCACACACGGCCATCACCTACCCTTAGGCTGATGATCCATGAGGGGAAGGCCTTCTTGCTCCTTAAGAAACTTCCCTAAGAATTCAAGATATTCAAGTTCACGGCGGGAGGAAAACCTTTTCTTACTTCTGTTGGGGAGATGGTAAAGGGGGAGGGGGAGGGGGAGGGGGCGGTGTACAGCTGAGGCCAGCCATGCAGCTAGAGCTGTAGCAAGTTTGGAAGCGCCTGGGAGGCTGACTGTGGCTGTGTGAGGACTAGGTATGGAGGAGGAAGGAGCAGGGAGACGAGAAGGTTCCACAGGGGAGAGACTTAGAGAACTAGGTGCCAGTAAAAGAAGCAATTCCCCCTCTGTTTTCACAGACCCTAATGAGCTGAAGGATCCTGCCGTTCCATCAAAGTGTTGAAGAAGAGCCTCTGACTCCCCTCATTCCCATTCCCCGAGCTCACAGGAGAAGATGACCCATGAATGCTCGCCCACCCGGGTCAGAATCCATGGCGATCCCTCCACTTGCCAAAAGGAAGCACAAGAAGGATGATTCACAAGACTTGGCTCCTCTAAGCATTTACCTTTTGAAAAACATTTTAAATACAAACTTTATACAAGATCATTTGAAAGGACAAAATGCACAGAAAAGGGAACACAACCAGGTGACCTGATCTGTAACCAAGACAGTACCACCCAGTGGGTGCTGGAGGTGTCCCGTCATTTTCTGTTATGGTTAAAATGCAAAGCAATCTGGGAGTGTTTATGTCCGCTGAGTCCTTAGGTCCAGTGCTCTGCCGGTAAGTGGCACCGGCGTTTTGCAATTGCTGATCTGTTGAAATGACACGTTGCGGGCCAGCATGGGCTGGTTTTTACAGGCTCATGGGGTATGAATAATCAAATGGAGAGTCCAAACTTGGATAAGATGTGATCAAGCAACTGCCTTTAGAAGGTCCAGATAAACATTTCAAAGCCATCACTTTAGATTACCAGCAGGAAGTCTGTACCTGGTGCTGTGCTTCTCACAAGCTCCCCGAGCATCTTCCAAGCCAAACCATGATGCCGAGGTTTGGTCCCATCTGGACACGGGGAACCAGAGTCCAGGGGCAGCCTTCCCTCTTCCCTAGGACCAAACCCTCCAGATTGGCTGCTTTGTTCTGAGCATGGAGATCTCAGCCCCAGATGTGGAGGAAACTGCTAAGTGCTTCGTGGTGCCAGAGGCTCAACCATTCTAGAAACCAAGAACCAAGCCTGGTCCCCAAGCAGAAAGAAGCTCTGGGTGTGCCTCTGACATGGGAAGTAAAACCCGCCAGTTTTTTAACATTTGCTTTCTGCCTCCAAGGAATGTTGGGGAGAGCAAGACATAATCTTGTACAATACTTTTTTTTTTAAAAAAAAAAAAAAAAAAAAGAACATCTGGATTTAAAGATCTGAAGCTATTCAGTTTTTATGACATATTACACCTTTCAAGAGGGTCATGTTGAAAGGATCAAAATAAAGGAATACCATCATGCTCACTGCTTCTCTTCCCAAAAATACACTGAATTCTTTTCCCTACACCAGAGGTTTTTATTCTGACCAGATGCTCTTTCACGATTGGGGTTGTGCAATCCTGATGTCCTATAAGCTCGGAAGAGTTCATAAAACAGGAAAAAGTAAACAATCGGTTGGAAGCACAGCCCGTTCCGCCCAGTTTTTGCAGTCCTGTGTGGATGTTATTTTAAACAGTGCATCCGTGTGCTCCCCAAGCCAGCTGGCCCACCGGGTTCTGCACTTGAACATCAGCTGACTGAGAGGGGGAGTTGAGAGGAGCCTTCAGAGTCTACATGGCTTTCGGTTTCAGCATTCAGATTCCTGAACAGGGGTTAGGAATAATGCCCATTTCTTCTCTCCTATTCTTTCTTTCTCCCCGTGCCTCCCTCACTGTGAAAAATAACAGTCCTTCCCAGTCACACACTGGACCCCATGCCTGCTGGGACAGGGCTGTGGGTTTCTTGGTCACACCTGTGTTGGTGTTCAATGCAGTGTAGACACATCTTCAAATAAAATGGATGATTGTGGACATCCACATGAGTCAGACCTGTGATTGGAAATCTCAGGGTCACCCTTGGGAACATCTCCAGGTAAGATCATAACATATGTGAATATCCGTCTGCCCGTTGACTTGACAGTTGTCAATGGTCAAGGAAGTTCATCCATGGGAAATAGATGAACTTGGTCCTGCCAAAGTAGAGGGGTAAGGCTCCAGGAGAGAAAAGGTGGAAGATAAGTGGCACCTAGGGGTTCCTTTTTCCCTCTCTGGTTCCAAAGGGTCAGGGAGGATTTTCCCTGGACCCTTGTTTCTCTGCATGGTAAGGAGAAGCCCAGTGGGGGTGAATTTTCATCTTACTTCTGCCAGTCGGGTTCACCCTAGGAAGCTGACCTCAGCTGTGTGGGGCTTGGCTACCCAAGAACAGGGGGTAAGACCCCCTGAGAGGATCTCCAGCTGCCCACAGGCCTGGGCAGCAGCATCCTGCCCCAGAACCCCACGGCTGGGGTGTCCCACCACTTCTTGCTTGTCCTAATCATGCCTGGACACTGCCCTGACCAGAGGGCTGGGCCCCCTCCAACCCACTGCCCCCCTGGGGATTCCATTGTCACACCTGAGTGCTAAGTGTACTCAGCAGGGAGTCTCCCTCAAAATAAATACAGGTTGGGGAACCCTTACCCCAACCAAATACCTGCTGCCAGAAGTGTTCAGATTGCATATTGTTCCGATTTGGGAATAACCGTGCAGCATTTACCAGTGAACATCCCTAATCTAAAACTCTGAAATCCGAAATGCTCCACATCCAAGGTGGAGCATCAGGTTGCCTCTCAAAAAGGTTTGATTATTGGAGCATCTCAGAAGTTTGGACTAGAGGTGTTCAACCTACATCCAGCTTTTGTTTAATAGAGATGATTGAATTTGCCAGTCACCCCCCGAGTCCTGGGTGCCTATTCCACTGGAAAAGACAGTGATTCTAGAACTTTCATTGCTCCCTCACAGCTGTGAAGTTGAGATGTCAGGAAGTCACCAACTTCTTTGGGCTTCTTCATAAGAACGTCCTTGCAATTATTCAGAGGGTCTCCCTTTTCTAGCAGAGAGCCAAGCGTGCTGGCCTCGTCCCACCGACTGAAAGAGAACAGGCCCTTATACGCCAAGAGCATATTTATATCATCACATGCTACGTCCAGGAGATGACGGGAAACTGGCAGAGCTGCCAGGGGTCCTGGAAATCGAAGGAACAAGTCTGCACGACTCCATCAGGGCATCTGGGGAGCAGGCCATGCTGAAGTTAGCTGTTTGCACCCCTTGAAAACCTTGTTTTTAACCCCAATTTCCCGCCCCCCTTTTAATCTAAAGAACTAATTGAAAATCAGGGGTTGGTTCTGCTTCATGTCCCACCTCCGAGGATTGGCTTTAATGGCAGGGAAGGAACGAGTAACCCAATCCCTTGCTGACTCGTCTTTATTTTAATTCATATTTATCTGGTAGGCAGGGCACAGGGCAGCGGGGACACATGGGAATGAGGCCTACCTTGATGTTAAAGCTTCTTTGCTAATTAAAGTTCTGGTGAACGTGGGGGAAGGACTTGCCTGAAATGTAACTGGGATGTTGCTGGAAACAGTTGCGTACATGGGGCTTCTGGGGGTGGGGGGGCCGACATTGGTCTCCTGGCACATTGCATTTCTCTTTGTCCTTCCCAAAGCTTAAAATTGGGTTTGAATGTTTGGTGGAGCCTCAGTTTCTAAATTCAACAAATGCAAATGGCGTGACTGTGGTTACTGGTCAACAGCGCAGAATAAACTTGAAATCTTGGAGTGGAAGGATGAAGACTGTCCCCCTGGTGTGAAGGAGGTGAGCTTTGCCCACGGGTCAGGTGAAGTGCCTGGACTATCCCTCTGCCTTTCGTGCCTCTGGGATCGTTTTCGCAGACACCGGTTCTCAGCCTGCGTGTCCTGTTCCTGCATCCCAGGGCTCCAGGCCTGCTCCTCCACGTGGCCGGGAGAACTTGTTCCACCTTCCTTTCTTCTTCTCTGTCTACTACTGCGTGTAACTTCCCACCGGGGTCAGTCTTTGGGAAGAGGATCTCAGGCACTGGGGAAAAGATGGCCAGTGTTTCTGATATGCTCCAGAAATGACTTTAAAAATTTAAAATATGCGCTTAAATAACCAAAACCACATGTAGTGTCGTGTGTCACCTCAGGAGGGGTGACAATGTCCTGGCTGGAGGGAAAGCTTGCTCCTGGCTCACCTTTTGCTCGCCGCCCACACCCTCCCATGGAGCACCTGCAGGGAAGGCTGGAGCTGTGGATGGCTTGGGGCTGAGCTGGAAAGGGAGCATGTGGGGCGGATGTCTGTCCAGAAAGATCCAGAAACAAAACACTCACTCGAGTGGACAAGGTACTTTGGGTGGCTGAAGAGCTCCCCTGGAGCAGGAACGCTCTGTTCATTCAACAGACTTGTGCAGTCGAGCTCATGCTGGGTGCTGAGGATATGTGGGGAATGACACCAATCAATCCTCCAATTGAGACCCACCCTCTAGTGTGGGAGAGAGATTG